AATGTCACCATCACAGACGGCGGCACAGATGCACTCAAGTGCCTCCTCTGCCTGTCCCAATGTACAGTACTTGACTGATTACCGCCAAGACCCCTGGTGTCTCAGACTGTCTCAACAAACATCACTCTGTGAAGCCACCCTCATCTGTGCTTTGTCTTGCAGTGCGAGACTTATTCATCAGCGGCGAATGAGGTTTTCAAACATGGCAAGCTTCCAAAACATCATGATTTAAGACACAGGTGAAATTGTGCTGTTCCTGCGAAACGTCTGTGGTCTAGCAAATTGTCTGGGATTGAATTACACACATTAACTAATAGCAGTTAATACAGCACATTATCTGGAAAGAGGCCTATTTACATTTCTTAAGAGCTCATTGATGAAGGGGTCAATGAATTAAGTATTTGAGCTTTTTTTCTTTAAGCGAATAACACAATCTAGTAACATGACCTGATTCGGAGGTGATAATGATACTACCTCATAACCTGTTCTCATCTGATTTCAGAAGCCAAACAAGCAAGGAGTTGGATCTGTACTGGGATGGGGAACATCCCAGAAAATACGGTTACTGGTTGAAATGTAGTTTCTTCCCTTTGGACTACAATTGGTAAACCAATACCCTAGTATAGTGACTGGGGAAACTGGACTCTAGGAACTGCTGTCTTTCAATGAGATATTAAATTAAGGTTCATTTGGTCATTAACTACACCAAGACGGGTCAGAAAAGCAGGGGTAGTAAACTGATTGCCTTGGCTAAATTCCACAGTGACTTTATACAACCTGGCCTTCTTAATGTTCTCCTTTAATTCAGCTGGTGGAGAAATGTGTCACTTCTCCCCTTAATCTGCTGTATTAAAGCAGTTAGTGCATAATGCTGGGTGGATGAAGTGGACCCTCTCCTACTGCATATGTGAAAAACTCTGGGATCCTTTGAGATGAAGAAAAGTATTATTATTTATTTTAAAAATCCATGGTAAACACCTGTGCACACCTTCAGATTGTAGTTTATACATATTGACTTTGTGTGGACCTTTAGGAATGCCTTTCCCCCTTTCATTTTTTACCTGCACATTGGATGAGCTAACTGCCTTTTTTTACAGCAGACCATTAGTGTTGAATGTGGTACCATCCCAAAATACTGCCCACCCAACATTTTACTCATAGCCTGACAGCTTTAGCGGAGCATGACCACTACCCTTCTTGTGACAAGATTTTTTTTCTGATGAACAGCCAGTCTCTTGACAACTTTGGAAGACCACACAAAAACAAACAGTGTAGTTAGGCATCCTTTCCCAAACACAGGTTATATTATAATCCAAAGGGAACTAAATGCGTGACAGGAAAAATGAAAAGACTGAGGGGAAGGTCTGTAGGCATTTACCATGGTAAAATAACTTCCATAGGACTTTTAAATGAAAAAATAACAGTGGGAGGTTGCTGCTTATGGATCATGTCCAAACAACCAAGACATCATAAAGTCTACAGTTGCATCAGTCTTTACATTATAACCCTTCCTTACAAATCTTCCTGGCGACATTTCCTAAGCAAATGTGTATTGCCTTTAAATTATACTGCATTGTATTATACTGCATTGGAAAACTGAGACAAAGAAGTGGGGTCTGTCACTGACATATGGTACAGTACAAAACAGTTTATCCTTTACAGATCCCCTCTAGTTTAATTATGTTTCACTTACAATTTCCAATTTCCATTTGGATTGGCATCTCTGCTTTGTTCAGTAACTGGTAAATGCAGGGTTGCTCTTGCTCTGCTCTATGATATATTTCTTTCTGCCTGTTGGCAACCAGCTGTGCCAGGTAAAAGGGTCGCCAGCGGGGCCTTCTTAAATTTACGGTTTTATTATTTTAGGATTAGCCAGCCAGTTGTCTTATGCAGCATGTTTTGAAAGGAAACAAAGCCAGAAAGCCAAAATTCTGATTTGTACGCAAACTCGGAACATGCCTCATGACTTCTTGAAAAGCTTTTTCTTTTAATGGGAAATTTAAATCATGCCATTTCTTTGTGAGGCTTATGAATTATGCTCTAAGATGCTACTCAAACCATATCCTTATTTTAAATATGGCCCTGATATTTCTGTATTATATTTGAAAGACTAAACGTTATTTCTAAGCTGAAAAGTGTAAAGAGAAGAAAAAAACACAGTGTCCTGGCTGTTTAGCATCCTTAAGGTGTTACCTGTCTTCTTTCTTTCTGTTTCTCCAAACAGAAATAACCACCACGTGGTGCGTTTCAGCCAGACACAGAGCCACACTTGAGGAAATAATCTCACATTGGCAATGTGGAGACATTTTTCTTGGTAATTCTGAGTCATGTCTGTTTCTGGGCCATGCACCTATCTGTCACATTGCCTGGGAGCTTGTGATGTGTCATTGAGAAGACAATTGGCAATTGAATTTTCATTTTCAACACTAAATGCTATAGTGCCAGAATGAATGCACCATATTTCTATTTGGATTTAAGACTACTGGGGAAAAGGTACTTTGCTCTAACCTGAATGATGTGGGACTAGACATTTCTAAAAATACAGGGAAGATCAACAATCTGGATGCACGCTGAGAGTGAAGCAGATAATAGCACTTAAAATGTTTATGGAACTTTTTATTTTGTTTTCCAAGTGCTTCAATTTATACAAAAAACTGGACTGTTTAAGGTGTGCCTGTGATTCACAGAGCCACACACATTGAAAGCATATGTACCACAACTTAACAAGGCACACATGCCAAGATCTTAGTTCTAACCAGAACAAAATGCAGTTACGTTGAAACCATATGAAAAAAAATCATATCATATTATGGAAAAAGTCCAATTCAAGGAACTGCCTAACTGTATACTCCATTTTATCAATCTATCAGTCTGCAGTAGGCTGCTTATCAATCAATCTACGGTAGAGGCCATTTTAGTTATACAATCCAGCCTTGATTGTATTTACATCGTAGCTTTTTAAACCAGATAACCGATGTGACACTTCCAGTTTTTGGAATACAGCATTCTACACAGTGCTTGTTGACTGAATAAGAAAAGTGTTTTAGTGCCTACCTACAATACCAAACGAATATCAAATCAGGCTGTACAGTTGATTGGTGATCATATCTACAGTACTTTTAATTATGTTATTCTAATCTGAAAACCAGACTCATGGTTCCTGCTTTTGGTATTGTAACTGACCAGTTTCTTATTTGGTCGTTTCACGGAAAGTTTCTACATTAGGCGTTTTTTCAAAACACAAAGTATATTATAATTCAAATTTCCGATTCTGTGTCATTTTTGTGGACAGAATAATAATCATTACCAAGGGTCTTACTACAATAGTACTCTTGGACAGAATGACACGATGATGAACGAGATACAGCGGTGTCGGCTAGCGCTCACTGTAGGAAATTTCAGTTATCTGTTTGCATTCGAGTCTACAGCCTGCAGCCTTAGTCAATCCATTTGTAGCTACTGTGTATGTTGCCGATACTGCCTAACCTCCAGCTACGGAGGCTGACAATGCACGACTGCTACTGCACGAATCCAAGAGCGGAGAAAAGGTCTGGGCTAAACTGATGAAACTCTCAATTTTCACTTCGTCTGGTTAGCAAGCATTTTTCGGACACATACATCAGAATGTATTCGCGACAATAGTTGCCAGAAAGGTGTTCATTTGCAATTCCTGGTTGCAGAGGTTTATATGACTTCATAGTAAGAAAAAAAATAATTGTGAAATATCACGCTTATGTTTGAAGGGTCGGGACCGGCACTGTAGCGAAAACTACATTAGAAAGTTTTTGAATTCGACTTTTAATTTATGTCTAAAGTGAAAAAATAATAATAATCTAGGCTACAGCACATAATGCATGAGCTACAATTATATGAGATAGGATAGAAATAGGTGATTTGCACTTCATGTAGAGGCTTTATAATGCATAGTCCATATCGTTATACTGTAAATGAACACTAGAACGATATGTATATACCGACGAAAAGCCTTCTTACCTACTGGAAGCTCAAAGACATTCCTTCTGTTCAGTGAAAATAGTGCTCCAGTCGCCGCTCTGTGCTCAGGACGTGGAAGACAATCGCACAGAAGAGACTGTAGTTCACAACAGGTGCTAATCCTTTTCATGCACGTAGGGTTGCATTTGTCGACTAAGATTACAATAGTTTCTGGTATCTTTGTAGATAAATTATACTATATTAATAAGAATTTGCATTATAGTCCTATAGAAGAATTAATTAAAATGGTCATTATACTACTGTATATACTGTACACCACACGCTTGTAGTCTACAACCTTAAAACGTGTGATTACGCCTCGTTGCTGTTTAAAAATGATCATACTAAAAAGAGCATTGATGAATCATTTGGTGCACATATCATTCAAAACTATTGTTTCCAAAAGGATAAGAACTAAATTGATACATCTACACGGGGTAATCGGCGCTTTGAGTGAATTAGACGTAATTTGATTGTACAGCATACTGTAGGTACGTGCTATGCCAATAAGGACAGTCTTAACACACAGTCTTGCTGGTTAGGTTACGACAGTACAGAAATGAATTGTTAAAATGTGAAACTAAAGGGTTATTACGACTGGTTAATAATTTTTATTTTTTATTGGAAAATAAAAAACCCTGAATAAATCAAGTTTTTATGTTGATTGTAAAGCACTTCTTAGATTGATGCCAGAACACGCTTTTCGTCCGGATAATACGCTGATGTGAATTTGGCACAGAGAAAATAATACGAGAAGAGACAGAAAGGAAAACAGAAGAGAATCACATTTAGATAAGCACCTTAGCAGTCGGGCGCCTTTTATTTTAACGTGCAACAGTCCTGCTGTGCTTCGGGGGGATTTAAGGTAGATCCGTATTAACTTTAATCACACCCGCAACAAAAAACAAACATGTAACACTAGTTAAAACCATCCCGAGCCCCGCAGAATAGAAGGAAATGGAGGGATTTGGGGGTTCACAAGTGAATGTGGGGCGTGCAGTACTTACCACCACGAAGAATCCACTCGAGGCGTGAGCGTGAGAAGGAGAAGAACAAAGGCGAAATATAGCCTGGAGGTGGTATTGGAGTCTGTAGAAGATGCTCCGGGTCGGGGCAGATGCCTTAATCCTTCACCCCCTGCGCTGGAAGAAGGTTTGCTTTGAAGCCGGTGAAAACTCTGACCTCTGCTTAAACCAAACATTTTCCTTTGGTTTTATTTTCCCAGATTATCTACGGGACCGGACACAGGCGTTCTTTGGGTGCAAAGAATGTTTTCAGTACTGGGACAAGATGAAAATCAATCACACAAAAAGGGTTGTGCGGGCGATACCTTCCATTCCCTTGTATAGGCTATATATTTATACATATACTGTTTTATTTTTTAAATATTCATTTCACCAGACGGGGGAAAGATGTACCACCTAAACAATTCCGTCAGCTGGCATTGTTGAGACGTGTACTTAAAGAAAGTCACTGTAATCCCAGTCCAGGAGGGCTACCGGGTGCCCGAACTATCAGGAACAGGCGAGTAGCATGACTTCGCTTCGTTGAAGTCCCGTCTCTTCTCCGACACTGCACGGCGCTCTCCCATTACCCGAGCAGATGATGAGTTTATTTTCTTTAATACCAAGCTTTGCTCCTTTATAAAAAAAGAAAAAAAAACAGCCCTTCCTCTAAACCTTTTTATTTTTCCCTCCAAAGAGACATTTCTCCTCTCCTCCAACGGTCATTCGTCCTCCTGTGTGTGAGGTAAACCGAAGCGATGAACTAAAGAAACTGTAAAAGTGAGTTGGGGAAAAAGCAAAAAAAAAATGTTGACAGCCCCTTTGGATCTCTTCCCTCATTGGGCAGTGTCGGTGGGGGACGGAGGGATGCCTTTGGCTGCTGTGTGGGATGCGCTGCCGTGCGTTTTCGTAGGGAAGGGAGGAGTGCAGAGGTGTCATCCGTTGGGGCAGGAGGCAGGAACCCGGCTACCCGCAGACACCCCTGTCAAACAGCACATAACAGACATTTCAATACTGACGCAACTCGTGCCACAGTCCCTTTTGACCGGTAACTTGAACACGCCTGGAGAATCAAATCTTCTACTGAAGATGCCAGAAACAGTAAATCGGATTAAAGACAGAGATAATACTTCGAGATTGGAGGCGATTAATCTATAGGGAGAGTTAACCTTTGCTGCATTAGTGCGGAAGTGCTCACGAATGGTGTCACAAACACTGTAAATCTCTGCTTCGTCGATGTTTTTAGTCTTTTAGGGTAAACGGTTATAGAAAGAAAAACGCGACTAAGTCTTTGGGTTTATTCAAACTTCAATTCACTCCCCCCAAAGATATCTAATTTTTTATCATCGCCCATTTTTAGAATGGGAATGTTTCACGTCAGTCGCGTGGATCTTATTTTTCTAACAAACCTCATTGCTGAAGAAATCGATTTATTGGTATTTGTGAGTTAATCACACAACGTATCTTTGTCAGCATTAGAAATATTGAAAAGCATAGGAAAACGGCTGCATTCTTCAGTCTAAGACAGGAGACTGTCAAGAGACCAAAACTTGCAATGCCATTTCATATGATAAAGGACTTGATACAGAGATAGCATGTGACTCAAACCTAAGTTAGTATTTTATTGGAGTGCGCACGCAGTGGTATCTGGTAGGGTCACTGCACCGAGCAGGGCCTGATACAGACGCTCACCCCAGAAAGCCACACTAGCACTACGGGGAAAATTGTACTGCCGGTTATGTGTTCCCTTATGCATTATTTAAAAGTGCGTACTTTGCTGTTACTAAATAAAAACATGTCTTGTTTTAAAATGATTAATAAAGCAGGAGTATATATTATATGTTTGACTGTGATGAGAGGAACTTAAAACGAACTTCAAAACAGGCCTACAAGTTCACTAACTTTTATCATTCCACAAAAAGAAAAAAATGTACATGGTCTGTGTTTTTCACACGATATGTAAAAATCAGAAATTGCTAATTAATTCAGCTCGCATTCAAACCTTGAATCGTCACCAGAGGAGAGTTAACTAAATGTCTTCTCTAGTGTGGTTAGGCCTAAAATTTACAGTATACATGAATGGTGTTTATTTAGTGTCCCAGCTGCTATAATTCTCAAACCTTAACTTCTGTGGAAACTTCTTAACGTTCCCGTGGAAAAGACAACATTGGATAGCCCAATCCATGCAATTAATTCAATTACGCGAATATCCAAGACGTTCTCATTTGCTCTCTAAATAAGACTATAAATTTTGAAGTGATGTCACCATTGAACACTGACGGGAAAGATTAACTGCATATGACACAGGATACAATTGAGTGAACCTACATGCTTAACATTCTAACATTCAACTCCAGAGAACGACGACGAAGCACTCAGTTCCTTCTCCGCTTAATCCCCGTTACTTAGGTGCTGTCAGAAACTACGCGTTTGTCTGACTACGACAGGGGAGTCATAGTTGCGTGGGGGCTGATCTCAGTAATGATACATGTCTTAAACATTCCTGTGATACCTCACGTCCAGAACTTCTCAAAAGGCAAGATGTTCCCCCCCACACACTCCCCACTCCGTCCTTCATCAATCTCCATCTGTCACAGCGTCATGTGATCGGATTCAGTGATATTGAAACAAACGGGACTTGTCGCATGTCTCTATCCACCTACTGTAGATCATTTAAAACAATAACTGTTTCATATCGCGTTAAGTCTGATTTACAGTGCGATGTCCTCTTTTAGTATTCCTTCTAACATTTTGAACCACTAAATGCTGAAAACGCAACAGTCGTACAGCGCTTATATACTGTATAACTGAAAAAATAGAAGAGTATAAAACGTTTTAAAAGTCCCGTTTACATTTGAAGCAAAAATTCGATAAGACTATGCAGGGGTGTGAAATTAAGGAATACTAGCTTTAATAGATCTTCCTTCCAGTGAATGAAAAAGGTCAGTAAGAGTCAGTTTTCAGGGATCAAGAAAACCAAGTGACCCCCCATCTGTCTTGGATAGATACTCGAATAAGGGCCGTTTAACTAGGTCCTAACATCCACGCAATAGAAAATGTCTGAGAATACAGGACTGAAAATACTGTGCAATGGCCAAAGACAATAGTCCGCAACACTGGTTAAAGACGGAATGTAATACTCTTTTGAAAGACGTGAGCAGCTTTGCAATAATGTGCAAAAATTAAAATTAAAATTAAAATAAAAAATAAGACTAGAAACGCTAAAGTCACAATAATGTCTTCAAAATCTTCGAATACATTTAAGGCACTGATCAGATAAGACAACGGATGAACGTTGGGTCGCCATGGAAGACTAGCCCGTATCCTTCGGGGATGCATTCCGCCAGGAAAACGATACTCCCTCTGTGTGCGTGTTTATGTATAGGGAGATTCGAGCAACACTAATGGTGCAGACTGTGTATAAATACCGCCGACTCCAATTTCAGCCCAAACACCACCTGAGCCTCCACTTCTGCGTCTTACTGTCTACACCTTTGCATAGTCTATAGACCGCTGTGGTTGGTCTCTTCCTCTCGGTGATTTACACCTCTCGACTCGCTGAACCTTCCGATCCGTGCGTAAAAACGTGTTCCAAACGTCTCATACAAGAGAATCAATAATCACACCAAGAACAACTCTGTCACGAATCGCAGCGTTTTTTTTTCTTCCCCCAAACATAAATTACTGGAGTCTGTTTTCTAGGAATTTTGTATTTGTTTGCAAAATATCTTGGCAAGCGTAAAAGGGCGGCTTCCATATTACAGGCACGGATTCCCGGTTGCAATTCTGTACATCATTGGGCACATGTAATCAACTAGGTTTTGCGATTAAAAGTGATGTTTAACTTTTATTCAAATCAAGATGTAAATATTCTGACAATTGTTTACACTGAGTGTAATCTGGGAACTATCCTGTCCCTCAAAGGGAATACCCTTTTCTTTTCCAGTATAATTAACTCTCCAGGCTAAGGTTCACAACAGAATAAAAAAAAACTATCTTTTAGTATTGTAACGCAACGGGGGCTCAGGCGGGCGCCCTTGCCGCATCTGGTCGGCCCCATCCCGACTGGAGGCTCGAACCCGGGACTTCCGCGTCTCTCTGCAGCGACCCAGCCCCGTGAGCTAAAGAAAGACCTATCAACAGCTCAGTAGCTGTAGTCCTGCTATCACAGGGAAGGGCGGTGACGTCACCTGCTCTGGCACGCCGGCTCTTTACACAGTGCTTGTCGGCCGTAAGCGTTACAGTATTTAACGGTCATTCAAGTTCAACTTCCAACTGGAGGTGTAACTAAGAAGCACAGCTTGTCAACAGCCCTATCGTTAAGAACAGTCAATGGGCGATACCTGTACACCTTGATGTTACAAACAGGCTTAATACAGTGTTATTCCACCTTTACATTTGTGTTGCTCAGAAACTACCTCACTATAAAACCTGGTTTCAAATCTAAAGGGTTTATTTTTTAACCATTTAGGGCTTGTACGCGCTGATCAATTTCTTCACATTTTAAAAATAACAAGAATACAGTACATCTGCGAAACGTCATTAATTCTTACTGTACGTTTCACAAAGCGTGAGCCCCCCCAAAGTGTAATCTATCGAGTAATCTATCATTTTAAGGTTTATCCACCTGCACGCCTCATACAGTTGAATTAATGAATCGTCAGTCATCACCTTAATGGAACAGCGCCCCGACCTCTGGTTAGACTGGGAAAGCAATTAGCAGCTGTCAAAGTCGGTTCAACAACGGAACAAGTCACTTTAAAGGGACCTTAATATTTTTATTACATCTTGTGCTCTACAATACACCTTGTTAAAATAATTTCCTGTTTTAGTGCAATTTGAAATTAAGCAGAAAGTGTATTTAGGGCATTAAGCACGTGGCTTGTCTTTACACAAAAGGTTGTGGGAGTCTGGAACAACATGATTCAGCCATGTTGTTGCCACAGGTTAAATGGTATCCTTCAAGGTACAGATGGATGAGACCCTGAGCACCAAGTTACTAACATTAAAAGGAGCAAGATAAGTCAAACACACTATCTTAAAAGTTACAAATGAGAGATGATCACTCAACCCATAATTGCACTGCTAATACAGTAGCTACTGTAATTGATCTGAGGATCTCATCCATTCTGCTTCTTGAAAGAAACCAGGGTATTGACTTCAACATCATAGTTGCTCTGTACTCCTACAGCCCTTCGTGTAAATAAGTCCCTCCTGTCAGTATTTTTAAATGCACTCCCATGCAGTTTACACTTGTCCCCTCTCATTCATATTTCAATGTTGTTTATGAAGAAGTCCATTGGGTTGACTTTGGCAATATGTTTGAATATGTGTACTGTATCTTGTTCTGTTCTCTGTTCAAGTCTAAAACATTCCTTTGAACCTGGGAATGCGTCTGGTTGCTCGTATCTGGACTGATTCCATCGCACCCAACTTAATTTGTGAAGTGGTGACCAATACTGCACACAATATTCTAAATGAAGTCTTACTATTGCACATTTCTTTAGTTTTCTTTAAATCTTTTTTTAGTTTATTAATTTATTCAATGTATCTCTCTCCTGATAATTTAAATGTATCTTTCTCCTGCACATAACACTCTGTGCTTGTTAACAACAAGCCCAGTCTTGAATTATACCTTAAGTAAAATTTCTAAAGAATAATTTCTTAAAGATTAAGAGTAACATTTAAAATTCCATTGTAATTTCTATGTCAATTTTGGTATCTAGATCATTGATATAAATTAATATAATTTAAAATTATATGATGTAAAGATAACACAAATCCTTGTGTGTTGTGTGGCAGTCTAGTTTTTACAACGTAACCAGTAATTTCCCACACTCCATCTTTAACAAATTTTAATATTGTAAATACTTTGTTTTTGTATTTTGAAAATATTGCCAGGCTACGTCTTGTAGAAAGACTGCTTCATATATTTACTGTACCTTTTCAAGAACTTTTGTAATGTCTTACTTGCAGGAGCCT